AAGACTATAGCGCATGTAAATGTGATACTGAACTAGATCCTATATGGAAGAAAATTCTATACAGGACAGTTTTAAGACAATTGCTAAAATAACATGGATAGTAGAGAAATGTGTCAATATCAAGCTTCCCCTGTTTTATAATTATACTGTTGATCTGTATAAAATATCTTTGTTCTTAGGCTATACACCTGCTAAATATAATGGAAAGAAAGGTGTGGCATATGCAGTTTCAAATGAATACAAAAAAATCTATTGAGAAACACAAATTAAGAGATAAAATGTGGCAGAAGGTTATTTTGTGGATCTGAATAAATATGTGAATTCTTCACTTTATTTTTTGAAAATTTTCTGTTTGATATTGATTTAAAATGAAGGGGGGGGGGGATATGTACATGTGAGTACAGTGCCTTCAGAGACCAGAAGAGAGCATCAGACTTCCCTGGAGCTGGAGTTCCAGATGGACGTGAGCTGCCTGATGTGGGTAATGAGAATCAAGCAAGAGCTCTTGTTCCTAATCGCTAAGCTGTCTCCTAACTCCTTAAGATGAAAAGCTTTAAGAAACAACACGTCTCATTGTATACAATTTTCTGATGAAGAAAAAGAAATCAGTTGCTGTCGTGCTGTGTGGGACTACTGTAAAACTTCCCAATTCTCTGCCCCTCTTTGTGTCTCTGGAAAAAAAATGCTAACGACTAACTCTCTTGACAATCCTGGCCTTCACGTATTTTTCCAGGGGTCTTAGAGTGCCTGGGAAATGGGACTTCCATATGAGTGTTTTGGGCGGTGCTCAAAGTGGAACCATAAAGAGCATGTTGGGAATGGGGTTGAGAAGACGGAGAACTTATAGTATGATGGCAATCACAGTACAGGCGTCAGGTGATCCCACAGTTAGTGCTGGCGCCTGGGTGACCCTCCAGAAAAATGTGCCCTGTATTGGTCACGCAGACAAGTCCCACAGAAGGGGACTGTAACCAAATACCTAAGACGATAGGGAGGAAAGATTTGTTTTACCTTACAGTTTGGGGGGATACAGTCCATCAAGGTGGGGGAGGCGTGGCAGCTGGAACAGGAAGCAGTTGGTCACATGGCCTCTGCAGCCAGGAAACAGAAGGAGATGAATGCTGGTCCTCAGCTCACTTCCCCGCCCACTTCTAGTTACGCTCCCAGCCCATTGGATGGTGCCACCTACATTTGTGGTGGGTCTTTTCCTCTCTGAAACACTGCCACGTACACACCCGGAGGTGCGCTCAGTCTCCTAAGTCAGGTCGACACTGAAGATCAATCTCAGAGGGACCCAGGGTGAGGCAGCTCCTCGACCAAGAGCGGGTGAGGGAGGACCCGACCACTCCGCAGCCAACACGCTTGGCAACCAGGGACCTCCTTCCACAGGGAGATTAGAGGACTCCAGCACACACACAACTGGAGGCAAAGCGTGACTCTAACCTAACTTTGAATCCAAGTTCAAAGCTCTTATTACTACAACACACTTGCGTCGCTCAGAAAGCACGACACGCAGAGGCGGTGAACACTCTCCTTACAGTCCCAAACCGAGCACGTATTCATACAGTGACTCAGACATTTTTAGCTAACAGTGTAGAACAATGCTGGGCTCAGCAGACCGTGGCATTAAAAGTTCTGAAACAAGACCAGAGCCAATCAACCAAGACCAGCCAGCTGCACTGCCCCACACCCCCAGTCACTCTCCATGTTACAAGGCTCCACAGTTTCTCTCCCTCCAAAGAACTGAATTTTCTACCTCCAGCTGTCCAGGGTGAGAGGCTGACAAACTGAAGAAAAAAAAAATACCACTTGCATCTCAAGGATAATCTTCCCCTAGGAACAAAATTCTCAGCTTTGTCAAAATCCCAAGAAAAGCTAATCACAGAAGTCACTGAAATACTAACTTATCCTTTAAGATAATCTTAAAACAATGCTTGTTATTTGTGCTATATGATTATCACAAGAGTTTGAGCTTTATGTGAGCTACTTAACCTTAAAACTTCCTTTTAGGGTTCACAAGTGAATCCTCTGGTATCCTATCGAGTAGTGAGAATTAACCTGAGAATTACGAAATGCATACACCAAGTCCTGTCCGCAATCTGGTCTGCACAGGCCCTTTATCAGTAAACAAGTCTGTATCCATGACTTTAAAAAAATACACCGCGAAACCCTGGGAGTGTTCACTGTTCCTGAGCCTGGACTTTTTGTGTGTGTCCTGGGAATTCCCTCTCATTCCCACCAGGCCCTCCTGCCCCACTAAGAAGTTAGTCAGCTCCCGATTAGTGTTGTGTGCCTCATGACTAATCTGTAATCCAGTTAGCTTTTGTCTGGAACAGCATGGTAGCAATTTGAGCCCTGGATCATAAGAGTTGTCTGGGGGATCTGTTAAAACAGGGGCTTTGAAGGATCAGGACTTCTGGAGGTAGAGCTAAATAAACGTGTAACCAAATGCTTCTATCTGGAATTCTGTGGATAGCTAGTCCAGCTACTCACAAACCAACTACATTTCCAACAACCAATAAGGTTTTGTGGCTATAGAATACCAGCATAAAAGATATTTGGGGCTTTGAGACACTTCAGGGGGTAAAGCACCTGCCACACTACATGCCGGGGAACATAGGTGTGATCCCCAGAACCACAAAACCCTGTATGAGAGGAGCACACCTGTAATGCCAGCGCTCCTTCATCAAGGTGGGCAACAGAGACGGGAATGGCCCAAGGCTTCTGGCCGGCTACCAGCTAGTTTTCAGTACACACAGCAGCAGAGACCATGAGAGATACTGCATCAACAAGGTGGAGGAGAAACAACTCCCAAAGCCGTCCTCTGACCTTCACATGCATGCTCACAGGTGCACACGCTCACATTAACATGCATGCACACACACATATACACATAAACATACTCGCACATGCACACACAAACACACTCACTCTCATACACTCACACATACACTCAAACACATATACACATGCACAAACTCACACACAAACCCACACATACACTCATATATACATACAAACACACTTGCATATACACATTCACACCCACACACAAGACTGTCTCACACACACACACACACACACACACACACACACACACAAGCGCAAATTGTTTATGGTAACATTTGCAGTTTTCCAAGGCCGTGTGCGTATTGTCAGTCTATGCAAGTAGAAACGGACTGGGTTTTGCAGCAGGGATCCATGTGTACGCGGTGTATTTGAATGGTGGCAACATGAATGCAAAGGACCGAAATGCTCAGTTTCGAAAAGTTGTATGACCCAGCGATTGCTGGAATGTGAAATCAGAAATTTAATGATGGAATTGCAAGTTATCTGAAAGATATAAATCAAGCATGGTAGTACACATCTGTAATCCCCATGCAGGAAGCACAGAGGCAGGAGGATTGCCACAAGTTTGACACCAGCCTGGTCTGCACATCAAGGCTATCCAGGGCTGCATAGTGAGATCCTGTTTCAAAATACAACAACAAACAAATAACCTCAAACAAACAAACCAGAAAAACAACTTCCAACTTTAACTACGTTTCTTTTTTCTGGGAGGATTTCCTCTTCTCTGTCATAAAAATATCCATGGTTCAACTCAGCTGTAAGGACTGGGACCATATTCACAACCCTCTCTGCCCATTCCTCTTCATCTGTTACACAACCACACACTGTAGAGTCTGCCCCACCGTGTCTACCTCTCCATCACTTCCTTTTCGTTCCCGACACTGCCTCTTTAGCCCACCAGACCCCCGATGGGCTGTTTGCTTTTGGAGACAGGGTCCCAGGCTCCTCTGACTTTGTATGAAGTTGAGGATGATTATGAACTTCAGGTCCTCCTGTGCCTCCCCCTAAGTGCTGGGATTATAGACATGCACCAGCACACCTGGTTTCACACGTTGCTAAGGACTAAAGCCAGGGCTTCATGCACTCTGAGTAACACTTCACCAACTGAGCCGATCCCCACCCCCTAACCAATGTCTTACACACCATCTGCCTACCCACTCCAGTTACAATTCTACCAGTCTTGCACAGCTCAGTTAGAACTACTTCTCATATTAAAAACAAACATAGTTCCTCATCACCTGCAATTAGGGATGAAACATCAAACTGCCCTACATTACTTAGAATTCTTTTAATTGTAAGCAACAGAACTAGATCTGACTGGTTTAAGCAGAAAAACAGAATGGACCCACTCACACACACACACACACACAAAAATCCAAACATCTCAATTCTTTGCATACGTATTCTTAAAATTCTCAGAGAACATCTGACACAACACACTGCACCTCGTGTGTGTGTGTGTGTGTGTGTGTGTGTGTGTGTGTGTGTGTACCTGAGCATGCCTGCATGCAAGCATGTATGTACATGTTTGTGATTATGTTCATGAGTGTGCAGGCCTGTGCATGCTGCCTCTTAGTCACAGAAAGGCAGGAACATCATCGGAAGGTCCCCTTGTAGCTGTCTTTGCTAAGGAAAGATGTTTCTTTCAAAGGTTGTCAATAGGAAAAATGAACATTGAGAAAAATCAAGAAATGCCCACTACTGCCCTCCAGCCCCAGTCTACAGAAGAAAGGAGTTCTTCCTTCTCTAAGCCTCAGAAGTCCAAACAGGGAGAGTAGGAGCAATGGAGGAGGGCTAACACATGATTGTCCCGAAGTACTCAGGATGGGAGAAGAGCCGGGCCTGGAAGTGGTAAAGGCGGCCACTGTGAGAGCTCGGCCTCCCAGCACACACCTATGGTCCCAGCACTTGGAGGGCTGTGGCCTCCCATCATGAGTTCGAGACTAGCCTCCTCTACAGAGCAAGGTCCTGCGTTTAACTAATGAAATCCTTTTCACTTTTTCTGTGATCACCTAAACTTTACATAAGAACAGTATCCTTTATAAAATACTGAATGGTATCTTTTGAAAAATAAGCCAACAGCTATAATATAGGAACATGTAAAATTTATTGGCGAGGAAGAGAGTCGGGTATCAGTAGCATTTGGATCTTTAGGATGGTAGCAAATCTTCCGCTTCCAAATTCAGGAAAGGCGCCATCATCTCCCGAAGCTCCCACATGGTGCGGCGCCCCAGCACGCTGGGCAGCACCCTTTCGAAGAAAAACGTGGCGTCCACAAAGAGTGTGTAACACGACAGGCCAGTGATGGTGATCACATAGACCATGAGGAAGAGCTTCAGTGCGTGCTTCCTACAGCGAAGAAGACACGTGTGTTTAGTCCCGGAACAGAGCCTCATGGACGGTGCGGCCCCTCCATCCCTGCAGCTCCACCCTGAGGTGTGTGGGGTGCGGGTGGGGGTGGGGGATCTCTGACATATGACCGCGGTCCCGTCCGTAAAAGGAGGAAGCAGCGCATGCGCCCACACCCGCTCGTTTGGCCGCATTTGTCTCTTTGTTCTTGCAAGCTTTCTAAGGTACAGTTGGGGCCCCCTTTGTTTGATACTATAGAATCACTGATTTTGACCGACTTTTAAAGATGTATTAATTTTCTATCAAGTGAATCAAAGTATTGCTGTAATATTTATTTTAAATGGTACACAGTCACCAAACACATGACGACATACACAGTGGCATATAAAATTATTCTATATTGCAGCTAGAGTGAGTATAAAGTGTGCACATTGTGTCCCGATTTGTATTTCACTAACGGACAGTTCCATCGATAGCTCTTCATATGGCGGCTGACCACCTGTGTACATTTTCTGATGAAATGTCCAAGTCCTTTACCCGTTTTAAAATCTGGGCTGTACTTCTTCCTGGCATTATAAAAGTTCTTTATACATTATGGATACTAAATCCTTAATTTTCAAAATTCTGGAAAAGTTATATATACATATATATACATGTATATGTATATATTACAACGATTAAAACATTATTGTGTGTGAATGTGCATGAGTATGTGAGAACTGGTGCACATGGCGGGTGGGGGTGGTCAGGGGACAACTTTCGGGGGCCAGGTCTCTCCTTCCACTTTGCTGAGATAAGACCTCCCTTGTTTCTGTGTCGAGAGACAAAACACTTCCTGGGGAGAGGTATCACACAAAATGTGGATACCACCAAAGTCCTACTTGGTGAACTAGTGTGTTTTATTGGGGTTACCTACAGGAACAGAAGTGACTCAAGACAGCACAGATGACAGCTTACAAAACTGGGAACTTGAAGCACACTGCACAGCCTGCAGGCAGCTCTGCAGGCGCCTCGGGTGGTTTGCATACGCCGCCGCAGACAGTCTAAACCCCTTCCTGGCAGCCTGGCTGGCTTCTGCTTCCTCCAGGCAGCTGTTCTTGTCTGAATCTTTTTAACCCAACTTCTTTCCATCTGAGATGGGGGGTGGGACTCTCAGTTTTTATTGTTTACTCTGGCAAGGAGGGGCCTGCTGAATCTGGTCAGTTTCAGGGACTTCCTAAGGCTAATTGAGTTGTTGACCTTCTTGCTTAAGGAGCTTCCCTGCAGGACAGAATGCTTCAATCTTGGAGGAAACTGTTACAAGACATTCTTCAGAGCTGATTACTCCAGGCTAGGTGATAATGAGCTTCAGGGACATTCTCCTGTCCTCAACTCCCATCTTGCGGTGGGGATGCTGGTTGCAGGTGCATGCCGCTGAAACTGGCTTGTTATGTGGGTTCTGAGGATCAAGTTCAGGTCCTCATGCTCAGCGGCAAGCACTTTTACACATCCTTCTCTCTGTCCCTGATTCCTGACAGTTTCTCTACCTGTTGATTCTATGGAGAAGAATATTCTGAGGTCATTGCCATCACTAGTGTCACACCGTATCTGACACTTCCTGTGCATTGTGGTGTATGTCCCAAAATGATAAAGACAAGATCCCAGGGTCATAGTTCATAGTCTTAAGAACTGAAACAATTAAACTGCAATATGATGTTGGCTCCATGGCAGGATAATGTGCAAGGTGCAGGGACACATGATGTTACAACCAGGCAACAAAAAGACAGCTAAAGACTGAAGGGACAGCAGCCCTCTAGAGCATGTGGCTCTGGCAGCCTTGCCCGTCTCCCCCATTCCCTCCGCCTTGCCAAAATCCACTAGATCATATTCCCAAAGCCACCCACCAAAGTCTATTCCCTTATTTGGCCCCTTTCTCCTCCTGGGACTGACTACCAAAGTACAGCCAACAAAAGCCCCCTTTGGTTCACCTAATTAACATGCCCAATTAAAATTAAACACCTCGTCCTAACACGGGTTTCCCCTTCGGCCTTTATAAACCGCCTTTTGCCTGTGTGCCACATCTGTCTCCCCTCTATCCACAGGCAGCCCTTTGTCCCTCTGGAACAAATCACCCTTCCCTTGTCCCCTTCCCCTTCTCCCTCATCCCCTGTCTCCTTTACCACTGTGTCCGAGCCTGTTCTAACACAGACCTCCCCTTTTCTCCTCTAAAAATGACACCTGCAAGGTCATCTGCTGCTGTTTTCTGCAGCCACTTAGACTTTTCTTCCCGGTTTAATAAAGGATCTCTGTGAAGAGAGGTGTTTGGGTGTGGTTTGTGCCTAATCTGGGGTCTGGGAGGGAGCTCCCACTGTGCAGCGGTCTCCTTCAAAAACAACAACTGGAAATGCTCCAGAAAAGAGGTTGCTGAGGATTCTATCTAAGTTGGTGGCTGGAAAGGAAGGGTGGGAGGTCTTTTCTTGGAGAAGGGACTATTTCTTCAAGATGGTGTGTCAGCTCTATAAGGGGATCCAAAGACTAAGAAACTAAGCCAGGGATGGTGATACCGAAATTCCAGCACTGAGCCCTAGCCTCACACAGGAGGATCCTGCCAAGGCCATCCTGAGCTTCATAAGGAGACCGTGTCTCAAAAGAGAAGATTCAAAATTTTCATCAGTATGTCTCCAATATTGTATAAGGTAGAGGTTCCCCAATGTACACCCAGAAAACTCCATATCCTACCACAGGGCATTTGCATATCCATGTTTATTGCTGCACTATTTACAGTAGCAAGAAAATAGAAACAACCTAGATGTCCACCAACAAATAAATGGGTAGGGAAAACAGTACATCTACACTATGGAATACTGTTCAGCTGTAAAGAAAACTGAAATTATGAACTTGGCAGGAAAGTGGATGAACTGAGGAGCTACACTATTAAGCAGAGTCAAGCAATCTCACAAAGAAAAAAATGTTCTCTCGTCTGTAATGTATCCATGTTTATATGTAAACGTCTGTAAATGTAGTACTGTATGGAATTTAGAAAGGACCCTAAAAAAGGGTAATGTTGGGTGACAAGGAAGAATTAATGGCAAGTAAAAGACACGAGTCACTGGACATGCTGGGCGCACACCTTTAATCCCAATACTCAGGAGACAGAGCCAGGCAGATCTCTGTGAGTTCGAGGCCAGCCTGGCCTACAGAATGAGCTCCAGAACAGGCTCCAAAAGCTACACAGAGAAACCCTGTCCTGAAAAAGCAAGAAAAAAAAAAAGCCATGAGTCATGAAAGAGGATATAAAGTTAATTGTCTCTCTAGCTTTGATTCTGTCATAGTTTTTTCCTTTTTTTGTGTGATTAGTAAGTCAATAAAAATATAATAGTGAGGGGTAAAACCCTAAGTCCCACAGCTTCCGAGTGTCTTCCAGCTGGACAGGGGCTCGCTGACATGCACAGGGTCTGGGACTAGGCAGGTGTTTGTTTGAATGGCTGCCTTAATCTGGCTGTGTTTTATTTGTGAGTTCTTAACAATAAAGTGATTTTTTTTTAAAGGAGAGTGAGGGAGTAATCTTGTTAAACAAACAAAAGTTGTCAGATCTGCTTGATCAGTGGTTTCCTGTTGTGGAGGTGGTGACCAGAGTCTGTAAATTCCATTCTTTAACCGGTAGATGGAGGAGCGGGAGAGATGGTTCAGCGAAGGCAAGTTCAGTCCCCAGCATCCATGTGACAGTTCACAACATCTATAACGCCAGTTCTAGGGACCCAGCACCCATTCTGACCTCCCTAGGTACCGGGCATGCATAGGGTGTACATACATACATGCAAGCAAACACCCATACACACAAAATAAAGTAAATAAATCTAAAAAACTTTAAATTTTTAAAAAAGGATGTAGTCATATAGGTACTGTGGATGTTTCTTGGTGATAGAACACCTGCCTAGCATATGTAAGGTCCTGCGTTCAGTCCCCTACATTGCACACATCTCAAAATGATTTAGAAAGATATTGTATACAGGTAAAATAGGAGTATTACATATATGCAGATTTATCTAAAGTAATAAGAAAGCTATCTGTGCCTATAGACTTCTTAATACAATAGCTGTATAGTTAAAATGAGAAAAATCCTATGACTTCAATTAACAGACAAAATTTACAAAAGAAAACACTTTAGTCAACATCTGAAGATATCCAATGAGTCTTAAAATAGTTCCTGTGTTGTGAAGCTAGATACACACACATACACACACATACATGCACAGGTACACATACACATATGCATGCACATGATCTCACTATGTAGACCAATCTAGCCTAGAACTCAGAGATCCACTGCCTCTGCCCCAGAGTGCTGTGATTAAAGGTGCATGCCACCACTCCTGATCACACTGGATAAGTCCGTCCAGCCCGTGCCAGCCCCTTTTCCTTACTCACCACACGGGGAGTAAGTAGGGAGGAGTGTGTGACCCTGAAGGGGTTGGCGAAGCCTCGGGAAGCAGGGGCTCTGTTTGCTCCGCATCTGAGTCTTCAGAGCTGTGGGAGTCTGTCTCCCTTCCTTGCGTGTGGTACATCTCCAGCTTAGTGTTCAGTACGTTCATTTCCTTATAAAAGCTCTGGGGAGAAAATTTAACAACACACAACTAAACATCCATGTACATTAGAGCAAGAGGCATGCTAAGGAGTGTGGCTGAGGCTTGGTGGGGTGAGGACCACCTACCCAGGGACACTGATGAGCCAGCACCACTGAAATAGCAGGGTAATAACCCATCTGTTAATTGTTTCAGCCACACATTCACATTTCCCCCCCACATCTAAGGTGTCAGGGAAGAAACTCAGAGATGAACTTATTTCTCTGGGTAAGAGAGACAGGAGAGATCTGGGAAAGAGATGTCGTTTGCACTGAACCTTGCAGAATTCAGAACATGTAGACACAGAGAACAGATGACTAAGAGGTGAGAGGCAGAGGAGTAAAGTGAGACATACCAGAAACCATCAGGGTTCTTTTGGCCCAAGGCCTAAGGGATGAAAAAGAAGACATGTGACCAACCAGAGACCAGAATGAGGTGTAATTTAGCTTTGTGAAAGAACTGCCAGGTTTAGCTGGAACCCAACTGACATGCTTGGAGAGGTGAACTTGGGGCATCTCACCTCTATCCGTTCAATGAGCTTCTCCTTTAATTCACGGACTTCATTGCAAGCGTCGACCTGAAAAGACATCCACAGGTCTGAGTACACTGACAAGCACATCTTTCTGGTTTATACATAATAAAATCTCTCATTTTTGCACCACATACAAAGTGGCTGTGCTGAGAGATTCACGTTTACTCAGTGGCAGCTTCCGTGACAGTGGATTTCTGGGTCTGAGGCTGCAGCACCGTGGTGCAACGCTAGCCTGCCACATACAGGACTCTGCGCTCCGTGCTCCGCACCACAAAAGCAAATGAATGAAAACAGTGATGGAAGAAACGTGAGGCAAACTGTTTACGGATCAGGTCATGAACTGCATATTACAAGAAGAATAGCCAAGATCAACATGGGTTATTTTCAGTCCTTTGTAAGTATAAATCCCCCAGTGTAGGGGTGCTTGCCTTTAATCCCAGCACACAGAGGGAGAGGCAAGCGAATCTCTGCAAGTTCAAGGCCAGCCAGGGCTGTGAGTGAGATTCTGTTTCAAAAATGAATAAATACATAAATGAATCAATAAATTTAGGGGCTGAGAAGTTGGCTCAGTCGATGAAGCATTTTCCTTGCAAGTCTGAGGGTAAAATTTCAGATGCCCCGGACCCCACATAGGAGCTGGACAGGCATGGGAGCTGCCTGAGAGGCAGAGATAGGAGCATCTCAGAGCAAACTGGTTAGACTAGCCAGAACTAGAGCCCTCTGGATGATTGAGAGACCCTGCCTCAAAATAAAGTGGAGAGCAATTGAGAAAAATGCCTGATATTAACTTCAGGCCTCATGCACTTGTACACACACACACACACACACACACACACACACACACACACACAGGCACCAGCACACTCACCTGTGCCCATGCAAATATGTATGCACACGCTCATGCATAGCACACACATATACGTATAAATAAGATAAAAGTATAAGTTTATACAACAGCCTCTAGTAAGCCATTCTGTCTGTTTGTTACACCTTTTATGCTCCTTAAAAATCTAGGGCTAGAGAGATGGCTCAGCAGTTAAGGACACTGGCTGCTCTTGCAGAGGATGCGGGCTCAGTTCTCAGCACCCTCGTGGTGGCTCACAACCACCTGTAACTCCAATTCCAGTAAATCTAGCACACTCTTCTGGCTTCCATGAGCATTGCATGTATGTGGTACCCAGACATACATGCTGATAAAACCATCCGTACACATACTATTAAAAACAAAAGTCTTCCATCAAGATAGAAGCTGGTGAAAGAGTAGGTTTATGAGAAAATAAAGTATTTTTTAAATAGGTTAAAAAAAATTTTCTAAGGTATCAATATAAGATCTCATCACATCAGCTTGACTATCCGGGCTCTGGCTCAGCAGGAGTCACTTGTGGGATAAGCCCTCTCCCATTTGCTTCCCGAATCTCCAGCAGGCTGTCTAGGAGAGAACACATAGTCTTGTTTTGATTATTAAAGGCGCACTGACAGCAGCAGGCAGAGGCTTTTTGTTCTTTTTGTTCTTATTTTTTTTCTTTTTTTTTTGAGAAAGGCTCTCACATCTTCCAAGCTGGCCTCCAATTTTCTGTGCAGCCAAGCATGAACTTGAATTCAGATCCTCCTGCCTTCTTCTCCCAAGCGCTGGGATTACACGTGTGTGCCACCAAGCCTGGTTTATCAGGAGCTGGTGGTCGAACCCTGGGCCCTGTGTGTGACAGTCACCGAGCCACGGCCGTCGCCCCAGGACTTCTGAAGGCTCAGTTTCTCATGGGATAAATACTCATATACAAAATCCCAACTGTCCAAGAAAACAAGGCTAATAAACTCCAACATCAGTCTCAAGTTGTACAGCAGTGACCAAAGATGACATCTCCCTGGCACTGGAAATTCTGAGGAAAAGTGGCCTGGGAAAAGACAAGCTCAAGAGAGGTGCATCTGACGACAACATTATTCAGTGTGAAAATCAATGTGGTGTTTAGAAGAACATAAACACACAAAAGTGCTCACTGTGCTTATCTTTGAAGGGTCTAGGTTCTTCTTTTTGATTTTGTTTGTTTGTTGGAGACAAGGTCTCTTTACATAGCCCTGGCTGTCCTGAAACTAGCTCTGTAGACCAGGCTGGCCTCACAAAGATCTGCCTGCCTCTGCCCCGCCAAGTGCCAGAATTAAAAGTGTGTGGCACCATAACCAGCTATTTTCCATTGTTATGTGACTTACTTTCATATTGTTTTAATTGCCAAAATAAGTATGTGTTACTTGTTAGAAGAAAAAAAATGGTACATATGTGATGCTCCATGTGATGTTAATATAAATGAGAAGGGAAGAGCAAAAGTGGATTTTTACGTTTTCTTCACTCTTTATCACATTTGTTTATTTGTAGCTGGCAGTATTCATGCCATGGGACATGTGCTGGGGTCAGAGGACAATACACAGCAGTCTGTTCTCTCCTTTCATGGTGTGGATTCCAGAGTTCAAACTCAAGTTGTCAGGTTTGGCGGCAAGCTGCTTCACCCCGAGTCCTCTTGCTGGCCTGGGAGCGGCTCTTTTTATCTGGGGTGTGTGTGTGTGTGTGTGTGTGTGTGTGTGTGTGTGTGTGTGTGTGTGTGTAGCTATAGATTGGACCTAGATCCCTCGAACATGTCTCACAAAAGCTCTACTACTGAGCCACTTCATCTTGAAATCATAGGATTGTTCTTCTGAAAATGAGCATAGTAACACTCAGTCCCCTCCAAATGCTAACTTCTGAGTACCCTTCCTTTGACTTTTAAGTTCTATGCTTTCAAGGGCTGTTTTTCCTCCTGGTTTATAAAGATGCCTCATTACCTGGGCCAATTTGATGTTCATTTCTTTTAATTGCTTTCTAATTCCTATGATCTTCTCCTATAACATAAGGATAGAAACAATTTTTAGGAGAAACACATGCATGGTCCACCAATGTCAGATTTCATAGTTATTTTCCCCCCTTATAATATGTTGATTTATAAAAGCCAACATCAAATTATGTCAGTAAGATACAGTTGGTGGCGCAGGAGAAATGGCCCAGTGGTTCAAACACTGGCTGCTCTTGTAGAGGATCCAGACTTGATCCCCAGCACCTACATGGTGGCTCACAACCATCTGTAACTGCTGTTCCAGGGGATCTGATGCCCTCTTTGGGCCTCTGTGAACACGACATGAATGGGACACATACAGACAAGCAGACACATACACACAAAACTTTTTTTAAAGGTATGATTGGCCATACCCTATGCAAGTGAACCCCAAGCTCCCGGCATTGGGCTTGTCCAATACAAGTAAACCAGGAGCACTGGGTCATACCTGAGCAGCCAGCAACCATCAGTGGCATGTGGTCAACATATGGGGGTTATATATTCACCCTCATTTAGTACCACATTAACTCATCACCAGTCACCAAATCACTTGGTTTAATAAGGAGTTGTACTATCAGGAGGGTGAGCATGGACTCCCCGATCCCTCTGCCTCCACCTCCCAGGTGCAGGGAGGACAGACTTCCAGGGTCAGTTTTTTAACTGCCTCCTTCCTTCCTCTCTTCAGCTCCAGCTAACTGCCCGCACCGCCATTACTCTGTTCCCTGTGGGTTTTGCCTTTTTGTTACATGACTGGATCATGAAGTCTGAAGCCATCTGAGCTGGCATCTTTCAAATAGCCCGCTGTGTCTGAGATCACTCATTGCGGCTGCGGAGAATCAGATATTCCAGTGGTCCTTTTTATTTCAGGATGGTGTTCCCCTTGTGCACACAAGAGATGGCTTTATCAGTCTATCGATTGGAGGGCATTTGGACCTGCTTCTGGTTCTTAAGCTCATGTGTGGTATTTGTTATGCTTTGCTTTTAGCATGTACACAAAATTGCACAGCTCCAACACAGTTTCATACAAAAATGTGTGACACCTTCTCCTTTCCAATGATCTCAAGTCCCCACCTCAGACACAAGTCTCCCTGAGTGTGGTGGCTCACCAGCACTGGGGAGACTGATGCAGCCTGCCTTGCTTGAGAGTTCAAGGTCAGCACAAACTAACAAGGTTAGTGTGGAATATCCCTTTATACTGTGTGAATATATGTCATTGTGATTGGTTTAGTAAAGAAGCTGACTGGCCTCATAGCTGCACAAGAATAAGATTAGGCAGGAAAATCAGACTAATGGACACTGGGAAGAAGAAGAGGGAGTCAGAGGAGTCATCATCCCAGATATGGAGAGGAAACAGGAGCTACAAGATGAAAGAGAGGTAAAGCCAGGTAGCAGAATGTAGATTAATAGAAACTGTTAATTTAAAAATGTAAGAGTTAGCTAGTAACAAGCCTGAGCTACAGACCAAGCATTTATCATTAATATTACAGTCTCTGTATGTTTATTTTGGAGCTAGTAGTTGAGACAGGAAACTCTGCCTACAGGTTAGTCTACATAATGAGTCCCCAGATCAACCTATGTTTAAGAGAAGAGCCTTGTCTCAAAACAAAACAAAAACAACCTTACTGCTAGATCAGGGAGATGGCTCAACAGGTAAAAGTACCAACCTGACTTACATCCCTGGGCCCCACAAGGTAGAAAGAGGAAAACCTGGCAAGTTGTCTCTGACCTCCATTTATGCACACACACACACACACACACACACACACACACACGCGCCGCACACGCACACGCACACGCACACAGCACACAGCACATACTTGCATGCATCCGCACAATGCACACATCCACACTATACACGCATACACACCATGCACACATGAACAAATACATATATGCTCAATGCATGCACACACAGAGACATACAATAAATATATAACTTACAATAAAAAATTAAAAATAAACATCAAAGGAAAAAAACTTTCTCTGAGAAGTATCTCTAAGAACATAAAGAGATAAAGAAATAAGATGCTTTAGAAATTTGGAAACAACACAAGAACATATCAAGAAGTCATCCAAAGCCACATAGTCAGCTCTTTATTTCTAAGGACACAGTTAACAAATTCCCACTTCCTAGATGTTTTCTCTGAACTAGCAGGGCTGAGATTCTGAGATTCAGGCAGACAGGTCTCCTTTAAGGCCTGCGTCCTCATGAAGAGCGCATCAAGACTATGAGGAGGGAAGCCAAGTGGAGTTCAGGATTCTGATCATCAAACAAGGGAATCGGTGTCCCCTGGAGGAAGGGGCCTGGCAGTCTGTGATGGAAGCATGTTTTCCCTCTAGCTTTGATCTGTTTGGAGGGAGGTGGAGGCTGAAGTCTGAACCCAGCTTACCTCAATGTTTGTTTCCTGATCAGGGTCCTCCAAATGTTCAGACTGGTTTTCCAGGGATATCACCTCAGTTAACAGGCTACAAAGATAACAAATGAACTAAGTCCTGTGAGTTGAGAAAACAATCATCCAACATGGGAGAGATTTCCGATCTTTCAGAAATGAAGTGCTGTGCTACCTAGAAGGTCACAAAGGGGGTGTGAGTGTCAGCTTCTTGAGAGAGGCTGTTGAAGGTGTGGAAAGAAAAGGTACAAGCTGGGAAAGAGCTGTCTCTCCAGTCCTGGGACTGGACCTAGGGACTTGTGCAGAGAGGCACTGAGCTGTAGCCACAGCCAGACAGTGACGTTTGAAAATCCAAATTCTGAGTATCTGGACTTTCATCCAGACTGTATCATGAACCTTCAACTCAGCAACATGTTGGGTGTGGTGGTGCACACCTAATCCCACTGAGGAGATGGAGGCAGGAGGATCAGGAGTGCCAAGCTAGCTTGGGCTACATGAGACACAGTCTTAAAGCAAACACAAGGAAAGAAGGAAATAATGGATTTTGTGATGGATCAAGGTGTGTCCTCACGGTGCTGCTTTCATAACTACATGCATTTGTGAAACTCACAGGACCTTAACATTAAAAAACACAATTGTCATGTAATATAATTATACTTTAATTTAAAAGAGAAAATACATTTGTGTGGGATTTGGATCCTTTTTAATGCTTTGGAGGACAGGAAGGTCCACCTGGATGGGGTGTGTACGAACAGACACTTTGTGACAGGTAAAGAGGAAACAGCTAGGAATGCAGTGCCTTTGTGCTAGGGAAGAGGGTGGAACGTGGTAGGGAAATCAAGTCTTCAGATGCTGACCTTCAGTAAGAGCTTCTGTTTGTTCATCACTGACTGCGTATCAACCTCAAAATAAGCCAGTGACAAGGGTACCATTAGTAACTTTTTATAGATAAGGAAAGGCAAGTCCTTAGAAAGGTTGATTGATTCTCCCAATAAACGGGCATCAGGATTCAAACTCAGTCTCTCTAATGCAGGTGGAGCTCAGTGGACTGCTTGCCTAGCATTCATCAAGACCTGAGTTCAAATCCCAGCATAATACAGGCTGTGGTAGCACATTCCATAATTGGGAAGTGGAGGCAGGAGTAGTAGCTCAAAATTCTGCTCAGATACACAGAGCTTGGGGTTAGCCTGGGCTACATGAGACCCTGCAGGGCCCAGGAGACATGGCTCAGCAGTTAAAGGCCATGCTGCTTTCTCAGGATCCACATGGAGGCTCACAGATACCTGTGACTCAAGCTCCAGAGGATCTGATGCTTCTGGCCTCCTGGGCACCTGTGCTTACATGCATGTACCCACATGCATAATACACACATAGGTAAAAATGATAAAAATAAGTTGAGAGAGAGAGAGAGAGAGAGAGAGAGAGAGAGAGAGAGAGTATGCACACCCTCTGGGTACCTGTGTGCATCTCTTTGATAAATAACTCAGTTTTAAATAAAAAGTGTATGGGAGAAGTCATTGAGAGGAGAGACTCATAGAGCTCTGAAGTAATCCGGGATGTTGACTTCCAGCCCTGGGTCTTTGCTTCTTGCCCTGAGGCTTCACTGATGCGCCCACAATGTTCTGAGCTTTAAAGCTATGAGGCATCCCACTGTTTTCCTGCCAACCCCAATATCGAGTGTTTACCTCTTCACTGTGCTTTCTGTATTGTTTATCTTTTGTATAATGCCGTTGATCTTCTCCAACCAGTCAACGTGGTCAGCTCCAAGTTCTTTCATTTGTAGACCCATCTTTGCATTCCAGGAGCTCAGCTTGAGGATTGAGCTCTCTGGGGTCCTGCAGAAACAGAATCTGATCATCGGAAGGTAGGAAGTGGAAAACACTTCACACAGCTCTAAACGCTCTTCCTTTGACTGACAAGCTGATCTATGTGTGTGTTTCCCAGCACCAAAATGGGCCAGGTGGCCGTTTATTTATCTGTATAAGCAGGTCTTTAAAAGCCTGGATAAAGCAAATAATCCTGCAAAATATGTATGTGTGTTACTGAGACTCAAACCCAGGACCTCACACCAAGTAAGAACCCTACCACAGAGCTACATGTCCAGCTCTTAAAAGTTTTACACGGGGCTGGAGAATTGGCTCACTTGGTTTCAAGCACTTGTTGCTCTTGCACAGAACCTGGGTTTGATTCCCAGCACCCATAGGGTGGTTCATAACCATCCATAATTCCAGGGACGGAGGAGCTGATAACCTCTTCTGACTTTTTCAGGGACACATGCAGTGTACATATATACATGATGCAGGCAAAACTTTCATACCCATACTTTTTAAAAAAAATATGTATTTTTCTCAATGCTAAGGATTGAACCCAGGGCCTCACACACACTAAGCAAGTACTCCCCAGCCCTGAGCTATTGCCCCAGCCCTAAAATAGATGCATTTGAAATCCCCCTCTATGTAATGAACGTTAGGATAGTGGCAGGGGAGGAGAGGTGGACAACGGGAGGTGACACTCAAGGGCTTCGTGGCAGGCTTTTAGTGATTCTTGGGATGATTTTCACATGTAAGCAGTTATCTGAGACTTTTAAGATGTGCATCAATTCTCAGCTCCAAATCCAAGGACACTCAAAAGGCCTGGCGGCTCTGGCAGTGTCTTCGGCTCAGGACTGGTTGACTCTGCAGTCTCGCTGGGCAGGGTGGGCCCGTCCCTGCGCATGTGGATGCTGCATGGCTCAACAGGCTTTCTCTGAATTCCTTACTAAGCTTCTCCCCCACATCACTCAGCGCTCCCCACCGGTCATGTCCAAGCTTACGGTGCAGGGGTGCTCTTCTCTGAAAACTGTGACAGTGATACTTGAGGGTCTTCACAAACAAGAGTTACTTCTTGCTCATCCGGATTGCTTGGTGGGTCCTGGCTGTGCTTAGATTCCTGCTCCAACGTATCCTGCATGAGCCGATGACGGAAGAAAAGTAGAACAAATGGGTAACCGTGAGAGATCCTGGCTCCTTCAGCCCTACCTGACACAGCCTGTCGAGGCCCCCTGCCTTCTAGTGCATGGATGAGATAGGGAGACAAGGCCTCTGCCGTGCAGCAGGCTGGGGTAGGTAGGCTTCCCAGCACCAGCATCCCAGGAAGAGTTGTTTTTAGGGTGAACAGTAGAAATGCACCCAATCATGGACTCCAAAACTTGACTCAAATGACACAGCTCTTCTAGTCTCTTCAAAAACTCAACACCAGACAGTCAGGAGTGCACATCTGTACCCCTGGCCCTCAGGAGGAAGGGGTAGGAGATTGCCATGAGTATGAGGGCTGTCTGGCTGACACAGTGAGTCTGGGCCAGCCTAGGCCACATAGTGAGTTATAGGCCAGCCTGGGCTGCATAACAAGGCCACAACAAAACAAGGGTGGGAGCCCTCAACATCACAAAAGGCCAAGTACAAGTGTTTCATACTCAGCCAATCTACTGAGCTATGAATACTAAGTGCACAGCATAGATCTTGTTCCAATGTTAGTTAAAAAAGAAAAGTACAGCTCTAGGACCTAGGTTCAGTTCTCAGCTCACAATCACCTGTGACTCCAGTTCCAAGGAATCTGATGCCCTCTATTGACCCTGAGGGCACCAGGAATGCACATGATGCACAGACACACATGTAGGGAAAACACTTATACACATAAAATACACAAATGAATCTTTAAAAATGACATAGCTCTAAAAACATTTGAGGCATAATTGAGGAAACCGGAATATTGAGAGAATGAGAAGATTAGACTCCTCTATGTGTCAAACTGTTGATTTCTTTAGATGTGCTGACAGTATTTTGGATACATAGAAGAAAATCTTTATTTTTAGAGATGCTTTCTGGAGGCAACAGGGACAAGTTGTTATGTTTGTCCTACTTTTAAATGGCTTAGTAAAGTGCATCTATTTATACACACAAAGATAAAGCGAATGCTGTGAATGCTAACAATTTTAAGGTGCAGCTGTAAGAACACGCCTGACCATTGTTCTGTGCTTCTATGATCTCTTGTTATTTATCTTATGGCAAAGGGTTTGAGAGAAATAGACTGCTCTGTTGTATTTATGCATAGAATTCCTTTCTTCCTGTTTCTCTCTCTCTCTCTCTCTCTCTCTCTCTCTCTCTCTCTCTCTCTCTCTCTGTCTTGCTTTGTTTTTTAAAAAAAATTCTGTAACACAAATCTTAAAAGGTCTTATTAATAAAAAACAAACCCAGAGCCAGGTATTGGGGTGAACGCTGGAAGATCAGAGAGACAGAACAAGTAACAGCTAACCTCACCTCGCCTCAATAACTTCTCAGCTGATCCTGTTTCCTTAAACTGGAAGCCTCTGAGTCCTCATCCAAATGGATCTCAGCTGAACTGCTGCTAAAAGCTAAAAGCTTAAAAAGCCTCTAGTTCCTGGTCCTCAGCCTTATATAACTTTCTGTTTCCTGCTATCATTTCCTGGGATTAAAGGCATGTGTCTTTCCCAAGCAAGACCTGAGATATCAAGTGATGGGATTAAAGGCGTGAGTCACCATGCCTGCCTGTTTCCAGTGTGGCTTTGAACTCACAGAGATCCAGACGGATCTCTGCCTCTGGAATGCTAGGATTAAAGGTGTGTGTGCCACCATTTTCTGGCCTCTATGCCTGTCTAGTGGCTGTTCTGTCCTCTGACCCCAGATAAGTTTATTAGGGTGCACAATATATTGGGGGACACAGTATCACCACATTATTCTAAAGTCATTCTTTGGCATTTCAACACTACACATGCAAAAATGACCGAGAAATGACAGTAACTTACCTTAGAGCACCTCTTTTTTTTTTTTAACTTTACCATAAAATAGTTCTTTGAGGAAGTTTTAAGCAAAACTCCTGTGCTTTAATAAAACAAGTTTTAAACTGGAAAGAGAAAAGCTTGGGGTAGGCAGAACAGAGGTGTTCCTCACCAAGATACCCGAGTAAACCCCAGCCAAGGCCACTGCACACACCTCAGCGCTCTTCAGAAAGCAGTATGTATCCTCAAGTAGACTTGAGGGGGCACAGACAGGTTGGAAATGCTCTCAGCCTTCGTGCAGATGGCTCACCAACGTTCATGTAACACAGCGGATTAACTGCTGGCACCAGGAACACACGCCCGTGTCCCAACACGGTACATGCCACCTTATTTGGACAAAAGTCTTTGTAAACTTTGTCACTGAGTTAAAAGAGCTTGCAATCGGGTCATCATAGATTATCTGGGCAGCTCCCAAATCCAGCGAGAAGGCCCTCATGTGAGACAGAGGAGAAGACATAGCTGTGGGACAGGTGCAGGGAGATGGAGACAGAGACAGCAGTGAGCAGGCGCAGCCAGTGAAAGCCGAGACGTACCAGAAGCAGGAAGAGGAGGTATTCCCCCTGGAGATGGAGTCAAGGCCGAATGAATGAATTCTGTTGGAAGACATTCAGGCAGGGGATGATTTTACACATAACATCTGCTCTAAGGTGGCCGATACCAGTGATAACGGATCCTCACAGACACAAATGACTTAAGGCACAGGGGTCCATGGGAAAGTTAGGAAGACCCTGTGTGTAGACAGCAGTGTCCAGGAAACAGTGCCATACCTGCCTCTCTTGGTTGCAGTGTTACACCTATGGAGAGGAAAGCCTTGGCATGTTCTTCCTGCTTTGAGACACAGGTGAGGTCATTTCTTTACCTGCTATGACATTTATGTCTCTCTGACTCCTTTTTCTTTTTGGTCTGCTTGTGTTTGGGTCTATTGTACCCAAGGCTGACCCTGAGCTCATCATTCTCCTATGTTCACCGCCCAAAGACTGGGATTACAAGCATATACCATCAGGCCCAGCTTAGCTTACCCATATTTTAGTGTCCATCTTGTGAAGGAAATCAGTCTGTAGGTTTCTCGAAAATTTGTCTTTTTCCTCTGGTCTGTCCGAGGTGTGCTCCATTTTGACTATTTCCCTTAGCAATTGCAGACGACACAAAGCAGATAAAGGTTGTTACTGCACCATGGGAGGCTGGCCTGGTCCTCTGTTCTACACGCTTTTAATGGAGACCCATGAGACACTCCCCAGCCCCAGGGAATATCTGCTACCCTCGTACTGACTTTGTCCTGGTGGATAATGTCATATATAGTGCATTTTGCAGAAGAGAAATAGAGCTGCATAAATATTTGTTGGCGGAATCCATAAATTTTTATCAATGAGATTCCAAATTCCAAATTGCTGCTATTTGCATTTACATGTGTGGGAAAGAAAACAGTAAAGAAAGAGCAAAGAGTGAAGCCTCAAAAACACAGGCTCCAGAGGGTGGGTAGGCAGAGACCATTGCCTTGATTTATCCATCGATACAGACTGTGCCTTGAATTGTGAGCCAAGATAAACCCTCTCTGCCAGGATTGCTTTTGTTGTTGTTATTATTTAACTACAGCAATGGGGAAAGAAACTAAGACATGCTGGTTGCCTTTCTCATCGCTGTGACCAATTCCTGAGAAGGAACAGTAAAGGGAACAGTCCATGGTGAAGAGGGTACGGGGGAGGTAGCTTATGCCTGCTCACATCCAGTTGGCAATAAGGAAGCAGAGATCAGCAGGAAAAGGACCCAGCTCCAGCCTCTAAAGCTCACTCCCCAGCGACCTACTTCCTCCAGCTGGGTCTCACGGAGATCCCACAGCCTTCCAAAACAGCACCAAATGATGGGACCAAGTGTTCAAACACACAAAACCACCTTTAAACCACAACAGTTTTAAATATTTAGTACACCTACCATGTTCTTAATTCTTTACTCTTTATTCTCCCATAGAGGGTATGACAAGCATGCAAGTTTCTACAGGTCTATACAGAAGTACATTTATATATTTCCTTCTGAAGTTCCTTTGTAATAACCTATGTGAAGTCCATTTCATATTAGTACATAAAGACTGCTTTATATGCAGGACTCTGTGTTGGGGTAGTATGATCATTTTTTATCTGGTGTGTGTGTGGGGGGGTGTATGTGTATCCATGTTGTGTACATGTGTGTGTGCAAAGGCCAAAAAGATCAACATGGATGTCTTCCTCTATTACTCATCTTATTGTTTGAGTCAGGGTCTCTCACTGAACCTGGAACTCACTGAAATTTTGGCTTCGCTGGCAGGCGAGGCAAACTCCTGGGTTCCCCCAGTCTCTGTCTCCCAGCACTGGGTTAGAGGTAAGCGATGTCACACTCTATTTGGCTCTTCATGCTTGTGTGACAAGCACTTTGCCAACTGAACAGTCCCAATAGCACCCCAGGAAAATAATGTTACAAGCAGTGCTGTAATGGACATCTTCCTGTCTGTGTGCTGTGTGTGTGTGCACAGGGACAGGCAGTTCATGTGCGTGTGTGTGTGTGTGTGTGTGTGTGTGTGTGTGTGTGTGTGTGTGTACACACCAGCGCAGGGACAGGCAGTTCCTGTGTGTGTGTGTGTGTGTGTGTGTGTGTGTGTACACACCAGTGCAGGGACAGGCAGTTCCGCCCTGTGTGTTCACAGCTCAGTCCTCTTCTCTCCTGTGTAGCGACAGTCTTAGAGCCCGTCGCCCATCTCCTATAAGCTGTTATTACTTTACTAAACTGCATATATATGACACATATACACATTTTTAAAAAAAATGAATCACAACAACCTTACAATGCATGTCTTTAGTAGGTAGTTCCATGTCTGTGGACCCTGAGCCCAGAAATGGGCTGGGGACACTTCACACCTACTCTGTGCTGGTGGATTGAAGGAGATGTCCCCATAGTCTCAGACATTTGGCAACTTGGTCCCTAACTGATGCCGCTGTTTGGGAGATTTGGGAGTGTGGCCTCATTGGAGGAAGTGTGTAGCTGGAGGCAGGCTTTCCAGGTTGTTGTTCCCACTGTGTGCTTGCAGTCCAAGATGTGTCTGCCGCCTGCTGCACCTGCTCCACTCTGGGAACTCACCCTCTGGAACTGTGAGCCCAATAAACTCCTTCTTCTATAAACGGCCTTGGTCATGGTGCTTTGTCACAGAGAGAAGAGTAACGAATACTCAGACTTAGGAAAGGACCCTGGCATCCATAGGCTTATGGAAATTATCCTTAATCCCAGCAATTGGGAGGCAAAGGCAAGCAGATCTCTCTGAATCCAAAGCCAGCTTGGCCTACTTAACGAGTTCCAGACCAGCCAGGGCTACACAGTGAGACACTATCTCAAATATAATCAACAGCAACAAGAGCTACCCATTGGCCTAGTTAAGGGCCCAATTCCATCCTCACTGGTAAACGCATGATTATGTAACTAATGTACTGTTAATATGCATTCTAAATGGCTGCAACTATCGATAAGGCAGCCATGAAGTAATCAACATGAAACAACCAACTTCCCAAATGGAAATCAAGTCTTGCCAGTTCTGCCTGATGAGGCCTCATTCTAGCCATACTTTGGTAGATATTTATGAGTTAAAATTAGATGAACTGGAGAAAAAAACATCCACCCTGACTCTGAACTTGAAATCTCTCATTATCTGCCTCCTGCTGGCCTCAGGAAGTCTCTAGGCAGGTCCCCAGAAGTGGCTCCTGTGAGCTCAGCCCTGACTTACTTCACACCTTCAGTCACACTGACGTTTTGGAGAAAGTCACTGTTCTTCTCAGTCAGTTGTTCCTTGGCCACTGTCCTCATCTGCAGGGACATCTCATTACTGAGGGCTGCGGGTGTGACAGCCATTACTTCAGCGCTACAAGGACAATGACGGGAGTGCTGTCAACAAGAGCAGCAGTGTCCTCTCACATGTGGCTAATTCTGTTTCCCACCCTGCCACGCTGGCTGTCCATTCTATGAGACCCCAAAGCAAGCTCCTGAGAGTCCCTGTTCAAGTGTGCAGAGGAAGGACTGTTCCCAAGGATGCCACTCATGCCAAAGTCTGCAGATCACCCTAGAATAGGGGCATCACAGAGACACACATAACCACCATTATTGGGGCAGAACTCTATGCTTATAAGTTATTTCTGATTATGTAATATACACATTGCAAAAACTAGAAAAGAGAATATAAAATCACTAGTATTTCAGGTCCAAATAACCAGAGACTTGACCACTAAGGCAATTTCAGCCTATCATTTTCTGTCGCTAGACCTGGTATTTGTTTGGTGTTTCCCAACGCTGACAACTGTGTCGTTTCCAGTTCCTCACTAGCATGATGTAGTAATGAGCATCCTCATCAAGCATGGCCAGTGCACCCCTAGCTACTCAGGCCACTTTCCTAGAACTGGGATCATTAGATCAAAGTTAGTATCATACAGAGTCTTCAGGATTTAGAGAAATATTTCTAAATTGAACTTTAAAACAGAAAATGTTTGTATGGAAGGCTGTGAGCAGAACCCGAATCCTTCATGCTGTGGGATGTTCTGTATACTCTGAATGTGTTACTCTGATTGGTTAATAAATAAAGTGCAGATTGGCCAGTAGCCAGGCAGGAAGTATAGGTGGGACAAAGAGAGAGAAGAAGTCTGGGAAGTGGAAAGCTGAGTCAGGAGATGCTGCCAGCCGCCGCCATGAGGAGCAGGATGTAAAGTACTGGTAAGCCACGAGCCACATGGCAAGGTATAGATTTATAGAAATGGGTCAATTTAAGATATAAAAACTAGATAGCAAGAAGCCTGAGCCACATGGCCATACAGTTTATAAATAATATAAGCATCTGTGTGTTTACTTGGGTCTGAGGGCCACGGGAGCCGGGCAGGAACAGGATAACTTCTGCTACACCTTCATAAGAACAGCAGGTGCTAACAGCCCAGCCATTTCTCCAGTTCCTACTCCCAGACGGAACTTCTTTTTTTAAAAAATTTATTTATTTATTATGTATAGTGTTCTGTCTGCATGTATGCCTGCACACCAGAAGAGGGCACCAGATCTCATTACAGATGGTTGTGAGCCACCATGTGGTTGCTGGGAATTAAACTCAGGACCTCTGGAAGAGCAGTCAGTGTTCTTATCCTCTGAGCCATCTCTCCAGCCCCCAGACTGAACTTCTAAAGGCTGGACCAACATATACCACTGGCAGCTGTGTGTGAGCCCAGCCCTTCACTCCAGCCAGGTGAGCTCACTGGAGATCAGAGAATCATGGGAGGGGGAGGGTTCAAGTACTTTAGCAGTGACAATAACAAAGGGGAAAAGAAATGCAAAAAAGGTGCAGGTGGTTCATACCTAGAGTCCCAAACACTTGGGAGACTATGACAGGGGGATTACCATCAGTTAGAGGCCAGCTCAGGCTACATAGTGAGTTCCAGGCCAGCCAGGGCTACAACATGAGATCTTGTCTCAAAATAAATAACCAATGATCCACAAAACAAACAGGTAGAGAAGGGTGAGACAGAAACACATGTGAAAAGCTACAAGGAGGTGATGTGGAGACAGTTCTGTTGGTACAGAGACAGGGAGATCTCTGGGTCTTGCTGGCCACACAACCTAGCCTACTGAATCCAGAGCTCCAGATCAGTGAGAAATTCTGTCTCAAAAAAAAAAATGTGGGGACCATTGTCTTAGTTAGGGTTTCAATTGCTGTGAAAAGACACCATGACCACAGCAACTCTTATAAAGGAAAACGTTTAATTGGGGTGGCTTACATTTTCAGAGGTTTAGTCCATTATCATCATGGTGTAGCATGGTGGTGTGCAGGCAGACATGGTGCTGGAGAAGTAGCTGAGTGTCCTACATCTTGGCTTGCAAGCAACAGGAAGTGGTCTGTCTTACTGGACATGGCTTGGGCATATATGAGATCTCAAAGCCCATCTCCACAGTGGCACACTTCCTCCAACAAAACTAGACCTACTCCTACAAGGCCACACCTCCTAATAGTGCCACTCCCTTTGTGGGCCATTTTCTTTCAAACCGCCACAGCCATCAAGAGGGCTCCACAGATAAAGGGACTTGCCGCCCAGCCCGATGACCTGAGTCAATCCCCAGAACCCACATGGTTGAAGGAGAGAACTGATTCCTACAAGTGATCCTTTGCCTTCCACATGCACACCAGAGAAAATGTACATATGCATAAATATTAATTGATTGATTTTTAAAGAACTAAAAACAAAGTGGGTAACAAACACACATCTGCACACCCACATTGCACACACAGAGAAAAGGGGAGGTTTCTTTAACTTCACATAACACAATAGTAGTGATAGTAATACTGATTACACACCTGAAGTGCTTTCGGTTAGTTAGGCATGTTCATTACATTATTTTATTCAATCTTTACAACCATCCTGTGGGCAGTCAGCAAGGCAGGTCTTAACTATCTCTACTTTTTAAATCAGGAAACTGAGAATCAGCAATGACCCATGATTTGCCCAAAGTTTCATTGCTAAGATGTAGTAGAAGCAAGATTTAAACTTTCAATTTCACCACATCAGAAATGTCTGTGAACATAAGCCTGATATCCGTTCTGCTTTCATAGGTTTGACATCAGCCTGCTGACCCCCGAGGCAGTCCATCTTCTGAAGCTAACTTCTAAGTCTCCATACGGTGGGAAGAAACTCAGCACCCTAAGCATGGTCCACAACAGCAGCTCATGAGCTCTGTGCGCGCTGAACACACAAAACCTCCGCCCTCCCCAGCCTCACTGGATCAGGCTCTTCATTTCAGCAAGACCCTGGTGGTTCCCAGACACAGGAAAGTTTGGAAGCACTCATTCTTATTGAAAGCACTCCCTCTTCTCCCTGGACCCATTCTTTGTGTTTACCGTTGACTTCCAGGGCTGATTGGAATTAATCAATGAGTGTGAACCCTTCTTCCTTTCTCCACATCCCACAAAAATTTTAGAATTATGACTTTGGAAAAAAAATGGGTCTTAGTCAAAAGGAACTGATCAACAACTTTAGAAGACAGTTGACTCGTGGGGAATTGCTTCACTGGCAATTCCACCCCCCAACCCAAATTACCCTCTTCAGAGCCCGTTTGCTGGATAATTTGGCATCTCAGAAATTCACCAAGCATGACTTGAATAATGAGGGATCTGATGAAACAGCCCAGCTATGAAACAGTGCACGGAGTGGCCATATTCTTGTCCTTCCCAATCTTGCCATCATGTGTACCTCAGAGTCCTGGGAGGCAGCACTTTGTTTCCCGGGGCTGTTTGGTAGAGTCTGAGTTCCCCAGCACCCAAGGCAGAGGCCTTGCAGTGTGGTCCACACCTGGGCGGGAAAGCTTGCAGTTGGGCCTGCTCCCTCCGACATTCTACTTGGAACCCAGCATGAAAAACTCCTAACTCCCTCTCCTGAGAGCAAAGACAGCAGTGTCCAGCCTGTCTCTAACCCGCGCCGTCAGCTTGCCTCAGCCTCCCGGTTTCTCTTCTAGGGCTAGAGCCGTCTCCCATCCTGCCATCTCCTCATCCATCAACTGGCCTCCGACACACAGTGACCTGGGATGTTCTCTGACCTCAGCTTCTTCCACCACACCCTTCAACTCTAGTCTCATCCCCCACTGTCCTTTTCCTGTGGGGCCTCTGACTTCCTCACAGGAGCTCAAACCTTCCGCCTGGACAACCAAGCTACAGCTCAGCAGAATGGTGGACTACGCAAGCCATGGCTGCAAGCCCACACTTCCTGTTGCTACACACTTGGAAAACACACTTCCCTTTCCCAGGACTTCAGTGCCAAGTTTACACTTCCCTGTCACTCCCAGCCATCATTTACGGGAAGCCGAGCACTGACCCCATGCCTTTACACCTCCCAACGCCTAAGCCTTTTCTCCTCACCCACCCGAATGTCTAGCGGATGGAGATGAGGTGGAATGGTTTATATGCCTTACCTTTGGGTTCACATCCATGCTTGAAGCCTGGTTTTGCCACACGTCTGCTGTTTTTTTGGGGGCCAGAGTTAACTGTCTGGAAGCAGGGTTTGGTAATGGCTGCCTAACTGACACATGAAGAGGGGCAAAGTGATGGTTGGGAAGGCACTGGGAGCCGGGCAGTTGCTGGAACGGCTGTTGGCCATTCAGATCTTTATTAGACCATCGGGTGTTTTAGACAGGCACAATAGCACCGCTTCACAGAGTTAAACAAATGCAACATAAACAAAATAACACACTTTAAAATAGTATTTTACAACACTCCAGTCTTTAGGTTCCTACTCATTTCACAACTATGCCCTTGTGGTCCCAGGAAAAGAAATTCAATCATCACCATAATAGTGAATACTTTTTAAATGTTCACAATATGCCAGATATTCTTGTATGCATTTTACATATTTAAGCTAATTTTTGAAACAGTTAAACAGGGGAAGATCTGTGATTCATATCCAAACCCAGATAGTCTGGCCTCAAGGACCATGCCCTTAAGCACCACTGTACTGTGGCCACTCTCCATACTGAGATCTCATGATGATGGTGGTGGTGGTGATGGTGACTTAGACTTTTTGGAAACAGGTTCTCACACAGCCCAGGCTGGCCTCAAATTCAATATTTAGCCAAGGCTGGCTCTGAATCCCTGAGCCTCCTGCCTCTGTCTCTCAAGGCTATTATTACAGATATGCAGCACCACAACCAGCAAATATAATTTCCTTATTTTTGTTCTGTTTTTCTGAGTAAAAGTCCTGCTTTATAGCTCAGAATGACCTTGAACTCACAGCAATCCTCCTGCCTCAACCTCTTAAGCATTGAATTGCAGGCATGAGCCACTGCACTCAGTTTCTCACTGTTACTCAGCTTTTGAAAGCTTTACAAACCTTTTTGGCATCTCTTGTTGACTGCCAAGCATGTGACCCCCAGCAGCTGGTTTCTGTCCTGCTGGGCCTGGCTCCAAGACGCTGCTGGCTCCCTCTGTGATCCACTGGTAGGCTATGACACTGATCAAGGCCAGCTGATGACTCTACTACCAAACAACCCCTTTGAGGCTTTCCTCCATTCAAAACACGAGTGTTTCCCTCTTCCTTTCCCACGTCCTGTCCTTTCCACCTCAGAGGAGGAACAGTCCACACTCTCACACAAGGACACCTTTAGACAGACCCTGGATTTGGGGGACTCTGGTGCTTTAATAATTATATCTCAACATTAGAAATTCTGCTCTGGCATCCTACTGAATGGATGTGGGTGGACTGTGGACCACCACGGCTCTGAGAAGTGCCAGAGGGGCCCTGAGAAGCGAGAGCTTTACCACCGGAAAGAATGGGTTCTCCCTCCACATCTGGGGAGCCCCTGCTTTCATCCCTTTAGTAAACAAGGTCACTGTTGTAAGAAAACTGTGTTCAGAGAAAGGTATAATGGAGAACGGGGAGACTGTCCCATCCTGAAAGTTAGGAGAGAGCCAGGATGTGGAAGTTTCCTTACACATTCAACTCTGAG